ATTATGCCTAATTTAACTCTGTCCTTACCTGAGGCTGAAAGCACCTTACATGAGATGTTACACCAGATCTAGTGGTTCTCAAAGTGTGTTCCAGGAACCAGTACCATCAATGAGGACTTGTTAGAAATTCAAATCTTCAGGTGATCTCCCAGAGTCACTAATCAGAAACGGGATGGAGTCTACCAATTTGGGTTGTGGTTGGAAAGGGTCTTGCACACCCTAAAGTTGAGAACTGCTGCCTTGGGCATTTCACAACTGCATCTCTTTAGAGCCTGTTAAGGGAAAAACACTCTTTTTTTCTTTGTACCCACAGCACTACTCTCACTCTGATCACCAAATGTGCAGTAGTTTCTTCCCCCACACCAAACAGTCTGCGACACGTTAGGTGTCTTATAATTTAACTCGGTTTTTATGCTACTGGGAGATAGCTTAAAGCCTCCCCACCTCACTTCACACACCAATCACAAGACCAGGTATACACTGGAGGTTCATATAACCCCTCCTGGGGTTTGATTAATTTGCTAGAGCACCTCCTAGAACTTCCAAAAGGCTTACTGATTGGATTACTGGGTTATTATAAAAAGATCTAACTCAGGAACAGCCAGAGGGAAGAGATGCGTAGGGCAGGATATGGGGGAAGGTACAAAACACTTCCTTTCCATATCCTCCTGGGGTTTACCACCCTCTCAGCACCTCCACACATTCAGCAAGTGGAAGAACTCCTGTTCTTTTTGGCTTTTTTAAAGGAGACTTTATTATGGAGACGTGATTGATTAAAGCACTGGTCATTCAACCTCCAGTCCCTCTCCCTTCCCAGAGGTCAGAGGGAGGTAAGACTGCAAGTTCTAACCTTCTAATCACATAGTTACTTCCCCTGACAACCAGCCCCCTAATCTTAGGGACTTTCCAAAGGTCATTGAATTAATGTAAATTCAGATGTCATTGAAAGGGGTTTGCTATGGATAACAAAGGACACCCCAATATTCATTCTGGAGCTATTTCAGAAGCTGAAAAAGAAAGATACTATAAAAAAACACAATTACATTTTAGTAAGAGTTAGCAACATATAAAATTGCTTTTTGTTCCAGCAAATAATTCTAGAGTTCTGCTCAAGAAATCACATATATTCCCCCGAATAGTGACAGAAACTGTAAGATTCATAATCCAGATAAAGAGGGATTTCACAATTCTCAATTTAATGTATATATCATGAGAGTACTTCAAACTGCTTAAGTGAAATAATTATCAATTATAATTTTTGAAGTTAACATTTAACTTAACTAAAATCCAGTGTAAAGCTTCACAAATTTTGCTCTCACAAATCTCTCCTACAGAACACATAAGTTTCTTTATTCAGAAAAGTAACTCTAAGACAATTTCATGACACATTAAAAGCAATTATCTTCATAACTCTTTGGACTTTTCTTATACCGAAGTAGTAACAACTCAGGATATGAATATCTGTTTGAAAGCAGGTCTCATATACAGGCAAGCCTCCTTGTATCTGTGCTTCACTTTATTTCACTTCACAGGTGTTGCATTTTTTACAAATTAAAGGTAAGATCTTCCACCAGAAAAAAAAAATTCACTTACTTTATTTCGATAATTGCTTTACTACAGTGGTCTGTAACCAAGTCCACAATATTAGTGTATAGGTTTTATAGTGTTTGGTTATAATTATGTTTCATATATACAAATAGTCCGTGTTAAAATGGTATTGATGACTGAATACTACTACTACCTTCTTAGTTCAGCAAACTGAATTTTTGAAATCTCCATACTGTAGTTAGAGCTACCTTATATTGCCAATTAGGTTGCCAATCTAAATTTAGAGCTATTACCAACTCCTGGATGAAATTCTTTACTCCTCTGATAAATTGTATATTTTCTATCTAGAACAACTGGAAGTACAACCACCACACATGTAAACTGGTTGGAAAAAAACATGCTAATTTCAAACGAAAAATTTAGGCCAGCAAGCAGACTACCTAAGCATTATAATTAAGGATAATTGTTCATCTTAGCAAAGTGTATCATGACTACTTTTAAACGTGTGGTAGGAAGGGGGGGGGTTGCAACCCTGGAATGAGCATGATACCAAATTCAGAATTCTTAGAAGGAATCCAGTGTAAATAAGAAGCAGTAACAACTCAATCCACATTTTTAATCAAGAAGTATTAGCCTGATTTTAAACTTACAGAATATACAATCGGAGTAGAGTCAGGTCTTGCATTTGACAGTCATAAGGACATACAATGTACCCTGTACTACCACATACTGGATACACATAGAAAACAAATATGGCCCTTGATTTCAGAGAGCTTATTGCCTGGATGGGAAGATAGGCCTTAGACCAGTGGTTCCCAATGTGAGGCACACGCCCCACAGGAGGCAGTTTGATTTTTAGGGGGGGAGAGGGGGAGCAATTTGAGAATGAGTTATTATCAGTGAATTTTTTTTTTGCATTTCTTATGGTTCTAGGGGCCTCATATACAGTATATAAGTATATACTTTGACATATTTATGCATTTCAGTTCTCTATTATATTTTAAAACTTTATTTTTTCATATCATTCATATTTTTTTAACAATTAGTGATTTCTTCCTCAGTACTTCAACTGTCCTGTTGTCCTTTTAATTTTCTCTTTCATGAATGCCATGTTCTTTGGAAGCTTGTTTGGACCAAGTTAATGGCCTTTTAGGCTTCCTCCAAGTGATAGTGCACTTTTTGAATAATAAGAATTATATGTGGAGGGGATGGTTGGGGCATCAGGATTTTAGAGATGCTTAGGTGGGGCATGGCCACAAAAAGTTGAGAACTACTACCTTAGACATTAAACAAATAATAATAATAAAAAGAACTGAAATTACATGTTGTGGTTATTTCCTGTTTGTGCTGCATCTTTCTCAGTAGGTCACTGTGATCACACCCTTCTTTTTTAAGAGTATTCTGCAAAGAAGCTCAATTGTCATTTAATCATCAGAGACAATCAGTTGTAGCTGGGAGACTTGAAGACATATAATGGTAGACAATTAATTTAATACCTTTTATCATGAGAGCTATCGTGGAATTTATTCCAAAAAGTACAAAATGCTTGTCTATACACCTATATTAGCAAGAGAATTTCTAATTATAAGGTAGGATTTCACTAGTCATTTGTTTTCTTGAATTCTGTGCATGACAAAATCCATGTTGGTGGAACACACATATTCCAGCTTTCCCACTGAATTTTCTTTTTTTTTTTTTTAAATATATTTTATTGATTTTGTACAGAGAGGAAGGGAGAGAGATAGAGAATTAGAAACATTGATGAGAGAGACTCATCGATCAGCTGCCTCTTGCACACCCCCTACTGGGGATAAGCCCACAACCAAGGTACATGCCCTTGACTGGAATCGAACCCAGGACCTTTCAGTCCCCAAGCCGACCGGTTTCGGCCCCACTGAATTTTCTTATCCTTAACACATTTTGAAAACATCAGTGCTCCAGGGTGGAATGTTACTTCAATTAAATGACCCTGGGTTATAAAGATTTATAAGAAACATCATTTAAATTTAATATCAGCACTGAATTTACATTCAAGTTAACCTTCAGTGTGAATTACTTCCAGAGAAAGCTTGTTTGCCTAGGTTGCTCAAAGTATAAAAAATATCCAGGACTTTAAAGGTATTATCCTGATTTTATCTCTGCACGTTGTTCTAAAAATATATATATTAGTAAACTGGGAGAGAAAGGGAGGAGTAGTAAAAGTACACAAAGGACTTTAAATGAGAGTCATCCCTACCTCGCAAAATTTAAACCCTAAGCTTCGGAGGAAGCGCGAGCGCGCACGAACAGACACACACACGCGCGCGCACACACACGCACGCACACACGAGCATGCACAGACGTACACACACATACATATATGTGCACACACATACACACGTGCGCACACACACACACACACACACACACCTTCCTTCTGACCTCAGCTGCTGCTGACTACCTCCCGTTTTCCTGCATATTTGAAGTGTTATGAGTTGGTACTTAAATATATTTTTAACCATTTCTTTCTCCCACTTTTTCTGAGATATCTGAGTACGTTCTTTCGCAGTTTGTCTTATTTCTACCTCTGGCAATAACATTCCTGATAAAGACGCATATCCTGGTAATTGACTTGCTTTCTCAGCAGTTGAAAACACTTCCTTACTGTGCCAGGTGCTACAGTCCCAGCCTTACCGAACTTAGTGCTCAGTGGCCAAGTAGGTACTTTTAACTTTCTAGGGCGGAATGCCTAGCAGGTGATCATCAGTGCTTCCCCAAGTTTCTACCTGTTGCGGGGACTTGGTCAGAGGGGTTGATGAATCCGTGTTGCCTAACGCGTCCTTTCCCACCCACCGCCCCTCCGCTTCCCGCAGCACCTCCGGAACGCGTCCCCGTGGCCCGTCCAGGCCCCGGCCCGGCCCTCGGGAGGCAGGCACCCCTTGCCTGGTAACGGAGCTAGGTAATGGAACCGGGACCGGGACCAGGACTAGAACCAGGATTAAAAAGGGTGCCCCGACCCGGCGCGAAGCCGAGGCGCAGCTTCCACTTCCTGTAAAGCTAGCGGAGTGCGCCAGTCATGCCCTGGAAGCGAGGGAGCAACACCGAGAAAAGAGCGTACTTTCACTGGGCTTCTCGCCTGTACCCCAGATGTCTGGGACGGCCCCTAGAACCGGGACCAACAAGTCCCTCCCTCCCCACCTCCCAGGTCCAATTCTCTGGGCTCCGGAGGCACGTGGCCCATCCCCGCCGGCCCCAGCCAGCGCCGCCACCTTCCCGCAAACCCCTTCCTCACAGCGCCTCTCGCTTCCCCTTTCCCTCCGCGCTTCCGCCCCCGCTCTCCATCGTTTTTCCTGATTGGCCGAGCGCGCCGGGGCCCGACCGGCCAATCGGCGAGCCAGGCTGGCGGCGAAGGGCGTGGCCGCGGCGCCGGGGCCCTCCGATCGAGGCCGCCTCCCCCTCTCAGCCGGCAGCACATTCCGCCGCGGTTGCCGCCGCCGCCGCCCGGCCCCGCAGTTGTCTTTGCTGGAGCTGCCGTCGTGCTGTGGGGTGAGGGCGGGGGGGCGGGACGGGTGGGGAGCGGAGAAGGCCGCGGCGGCCGGAGCAGGTGACAGAGGAGGAAGGAAGCGGCGGCGGCGCGGCGAGCGCAGCGGCGGCGGCCCGGTTCCTGGGAGTGTCGGTGCGGCGTGGTGGTTGGGGCGGATCCCGCGGGGCCCGGGCGGGGGAAGGAGTCACCGGCCCCGGCCATGGCGGACAACGAGAAACTGGACAACCAACGGCTCAAGAATTTCAAGAACAAAGGCCGCGACTTGGAGGTAAACTCGGGGGCGCCGGCGGGAGGGGTGGGGGCCGCGGACCTCGGGCCGGTCTCCGCCGGGACTTGGAGTTTGGGGAGTCGGGGCGGGAGCCGGCGCCGGGGCCGCGGGCGGGGTGGGGTGAAGGGGGGGGGGGGAATGGCGCTGGGGGCCGGCCCGTCCGTGACGCCTTTGCTAACGCGCCGGGAAGTTTGTGTGGGGCCTGGGCCGCCTCCGCGGGGAAGCGGGGTGCCGCCGGCCGGCGCGGCCTAGGCCTGCCCGGCGGAGCCGGTCCGGGGCGGGCGTGAGGGGCCGGGCCGGGCCGCGGGGACGCCGGGCGCAGCGGGTGCGGAGGAGGCGGGTGTGCGCCGCTCCGACCCCGGCGCGGCCCGCATCCCGGCGGCGGCCGCGGAGGTCCCGGCTTTTCGCTCTGGCACCGGCATTGGGGGCCGCGGGGAGCAGTGCGGTTTGCGGGGGCGGGGAGGGGATTAGGGGGGGTCGGCTAGCGTGTGGCGAACAGAGTGGGACTCGGAACTTCCTCAGCGAGGCCCGAGGCCTCTCCACCTAAAGGCATTTTTTTTTTTTTTCTGGTCTTGCCCACTCCCATTTTTCCTCTGCGTCCTCCCAATATCTAAACTACAGGAGTCAACTTCTGTTTAAAAAAAAAAAAAAAAAGAAAGAAAGAAAAAGACGCCCCCGGCGTGAGGGGCCATTCTGGTGATGCTAACACTGCCTTCCTGCGGCCTCGGTTTTACGGTGGGTTCAGCTGATTCAAGATGTGGCTCACGGGGCGGCCTCTTTTCCAAGCAGAGGATACTCCTTCCTTCAAGCTTGTTCACAGACCTCTTTACCCCCTCCCGAGAGACCCCCAGCTGCATTCTGACATATAAGGTCCAAAGGGCTGTTACAAAGCTTTCCTCCTCTAGCCCTCCACCTGCTGGTGATGGTAGTGGGGGATGGGGTGGGCTGTGCAATGGCACCATCGCATTTTGTTTGTTTGTTTTTTAAAGGGAGTGGGGGAAATCCACCAACTTTAATTAACACATATAGTTGTTCCAGAGGTCCTAGGCTACATAAAGTGTGTGGGTTCAACACACACACCACAGATTTTTGATAGATTTCTTCCCTTCAATTTAAGAGTTTAGGTATATAGGGTTTCGTGGGGTTTTCTTGTGTGTGTTTTTTAAATCGTTCTGCATCTGAATCGAAAGTTTTCTCAAGAGAAAGTGGTAGTGTTTTTATGTTGTTCCTCTGTACTTTTTTTTAATGCTGAGAGGCTCAAATTCCCATCACCCATCTCTGAACTTTGCCCATTTGCTTGACTGAAATAGTAACTTTTGGGGGGCTTTCCACAGAGCCATTTGATCTCGTAAGGCAGTTTGTGCTGTCTTGCTGGGTTTTTCATAGTTTGAGAAACTGTTCAATAGCTGGGACTAGGCCATTCTCTGTTTTAAAGTTAAAGTGGGGGGAGGGATCTCTAATGGCAAAACTTAAAAACAAATACAGTTACAAAATCCAGAAAAATAGCAATTAGGTGCTTGACAAATCCTTTTCCCTCCATCTTTAGCTACATTTTAAAGATAAGAGAGAATCATTGATCGGCTGCCTCCTGCACACCCCCCAGTGGGAATCAAGCCTGCGACCCTGGCATGTGCCCTTGACCAGAATCAAACTCAGGACCCTTCAGTGCACATGCTGATGTTCTATCCACTGAGCCAAACCAGCTCAGGCTTGGCTACATTTTTTAATTGATACATAATTCTTACAGTTCACCCATTTATAGTGTTTTTTGTTTTCACATTGTTGTGCAATTAACAGTACAATCACTCTTAGAACATTTTTATCACCCCCAAATCAAACCCAAGCTCATTAGCAGTCACTCTGCATTTCCCATTCGCTCTATCTTTTAAGGTTTGCCTATTCCTAACATATCTATACTAATAATCTAAACTAATAAAAGGGTAATATGCAAATTGGTCAGGACATCTTCACAGTAACAACCGAACAGCAGGCTGTGTGGGACGACCAGGCTGGCAGGTGGATTGGTGAGGGACAACCAAATGATTGACCAGCAGGCTGTGTGGGACAACCAGGCCACACGGGGGGCAGTTGGCAGCAACCAGGCTGGTGGGGGTGGGGCACTAAGGGGCGACCAGGCCAGCAGAGTGGGGGGGCAACTAGGCTGGCAGAGAGGGGGAGGTAGTTGGGGGAGACCAGGCCAGTGGGAGGGCAGAGGCAGTTAAGGGTGATCAGGCTGCCAAGGAGGGCAGTTATGGGGTGATCAGGCAGGCAGGCAGATGAGCAGTTAGGAGCCAGTGGTCCTGGATTGTAAGAGGAATGTCCTACTGCCGGTTTCGGCCCGATCCCTGGCCAAAACTGGCAGTAGGGCATCCCCCAAGGAGTCCTGGATTGGAAAGGGTGCAGGCTGAGCTGAGGGGACCCCTCCCCCGTGCACAAATTTCATGCACCAGGCCTCTAGTATATATATAAAAGGCTAATATGCTAAGTGACCAACCAGTTGCGATGACACACACTGACCACCAGGGGACAGACGTTCAACACAGGAGCTGCCGAGCTGAAGTGACTTGGATACTGCAGTTTTCAGGTGACACACCATGAAACCAGAGGAAGAAGCCTGTTTCCTCGCAGGGCTGCACAGTTCTACCTTTGGTGGTGGGCTATGTAGCTGGGGCACTGTTGGCCCTAAATCTGGTTTACTACACACTTGTGTTTGTGTTCCACACCCTGTATGACAGCAACTTTGCAGACTGCTCTCTTGCACTCTGGGACCCCTCGGGATGTCAAAGAGCTAGTTTTGGCCCGATCCCTGCAGACCAGGCCGAGGGACCCAACCTGCTGGAGGGACTCCGCTCGCTCCACAGAAGCCCTTGGCACTGTGGCACTGCCCCAAGTGCAGCTGGCCAGGGAGGGACCATGAGAGGTTGGCTGCAGAGTGTGTCCAGCCCATCTCACCCAGTCCTGCCCCGCCTGCCACCTTCTAATTAATTTCCTTTCATTGTACACGAATCCTTGAACCAGCTCACTAGTCCTATATAATAAAAGGCTGATATGCAAATTGACTGGATGGCAGAATGATCTATTGCTATTATACGCACCACCAGGAGGCAGATGCTCAGTACGAGAGCTGCCCCCTGGTGGTCAGTGAGCTCCCACAGGGAGAGCACCACTCAGCCAGAAGCTGGACTCACAGCTGGCGAATGCTGCAGCGATGGCGGGAGCCTCTAGTTTAATATAAATAGACAAAATATATGATCTTTTATGGCTGGCTTCTTTCAGGTAGCACCATGTTTTTAAGGTTCACACATGTAACAAGAATGTATCAGTGCTTCATTCTTTTTTATAGCTGAACTAAAGGCCGGGTGCATGAATTCATGCATCATTGGAGTCCCTCGGCTTGGCCTGCAGGATCAGGCTGAAACTGGCTCTCCGACATCCCCTAAGAGGTCCCGGATTGCAAGAGGGTGCAGGCCAGGTCTTGGGACCCCACCAGTGCACAATCAGGGCTGAAGAGGGACATGTGAGGTTGGCCAGCCGGGGAAGGACCAAGGAAGGGCTCCAGGCTATGTCTGGCCCGTCTCACTCAGTCCCAATTAGGCAGAACCCAGCAACAAGCTAACTGACTAGTCAGAGCATCTGCCCCCTGGTAGTGAGTGCACATATAGCAACTGGATGACCAATCAACTGTCTGCCCCCTCCTGGTCAATGCACATCTTAGCGAGGTTGAGAGGCCTTAGCATTTCATTAGCATATTACACTTTGGTTGAATGATGACCAAACACTTAGCATATTAGGCTTTTATTATATAGGATAATACTTTACTGAATGGCTGGCTATACCACATTTTGTTTATCTATTCAGTTGATGGACGTTTGCATTGTTTCCACTTTTTTTCTATAATGCAGCTATGAATATACACATTTTTGTGTAGACCTATGTTTTCATTTCTTTTTGGCTGTATACCTAGGAATAGATTTACAGGGTCACGCAGTAACTTTATGTGTAGCACTTTATGGATTGCCAAACTGTTTTCTTAAGTAATCTTATTTTTTTTTTAATTGATGTTCCCCCTTACTGTGTGTGTATCTCTTATTTAGTAAATAAGATTAAGTGCTGATTCTACATTAGAACAATATTATTATTTGACTTCTAAAAATACACCCATTAGAGAGATTTTTATTTATTTTTTTAGATGTTCATAGTGCCTTTTGGGCATCTTATACTAACTTTGATAGTACCTTAGGGATATTTTCATTTTTCCACCTAGGGAATGACAAATTACTATAATGGAAAATCATACTTTCTCCTCACTTGTGACTTACTCAAAGCCTCATATACCTGTATTGAGATAGAAACATTTCTTATTATCCTTAGAGCACACCAGGGTGGCCTATTTTATGTATTTATTAATTACATATATGTCTGTGTCTTGGAACACTTAATTATTCACTTTTCTAAATATGGTACTATGTTGTACTGCAACAAATTCTAAGACAGTACTGTTTTTTTATTTGGTTGTAATGACATCACCTGTTTCATTGAAAAGTGTCGCAAGAAGAATGAACCAGTGCTGTCCAGTGAATTTTATGTAATCCAGTATTACCATTGTAACATATAATCAATGTAAAAAAAAAAAATGAAATGGTTTTTATTTTTTCATACTAAGTCTTCAAAATCTAGTTCATATTTTACACATAGACCTATCTCAGTTTGGACTAGCTACTTATCAGATGCTAAATACCTGCCTGTAGCTGTCTACCTTATTGGACAGCACAGATATAGAATATAGAATATAGAGTGAAATAATTGTAGCATTTTTCAGTTTATAATCTAACATTCTTTCAAAATTACAAAGAATACAAAGTAGTTTAATCTGATCTCTAACTTTGTGACCTTGGGAAAATCAGACTTAGGGTTCTCTCTTTAAAACTAGAGGTACTGTTTCATGAGTGTTGTGTAGTTTAATACATTGTTGGGAAGATGCCTAGCAATTCTCTGAGCAT